GCAAGTCATACATATTGATTTAACATTTTGACTAGTTTTTTCAAAAAAAATTAAGTATATATATATATATATACGAGGTAGAAATAAATTGGTTAAAAAGTTGAGAAAATATTTAAATTAGTGTAATAAAATGTGTAAGTTGGTAACGAGTAATGAGTAAGTTACTCGATGCGCTGGCCCGAACAACCCGAGACCCGATCCGCCCGCAACCCGCCCGACCCAAAACCCGATGAACCTGCAACCCGATTTGCCCGCAACCCGATTGAACCCGAACCCGATGAACCCGCAACCCGACTAACCCGCAACCCGATTGAATCCGAACCCGATGAACCGGAACCCGATGAACCCGCAACCCGTTTAAACTCGAACCCGATTGAACCCAACCCGAACCCGCCCGATTGACACCTATAGGTATATGTATAATATTGTTGTTCTGATTGTATTGGATAACACATATCCCAAATATATAGTCATATCTTTTACCTATTATAACACAAATTCCTTCCTTCAGACTCTCTATCATTGTGTGCTGGAAATGACAAGATTTACATACGGTCCAGAAGTCTTTAAATCTTGTTCAGGTTTTCCAAGGTATGATTCAATTTTATGTTTTGCTAATAATCTGTTGTCCATTGCATTTCAGTAAAATCAAAACGTTCCTTTTATTGTTTAATTCAGGGTACGATATGAATTACAAGCAACATGTGAGTGTGAGGGAGAATATGTTGATGTTGTGTTTGATCATGAAGCTGTGTTGGGCTTGGTTTGGGTTTCACCGAGGAACTTTTCAGTCTAACCTATGAAGAAGGATATCAGTACATTCAAGACAGGTGCTATGTCCCTTTTATGGCTGAAGCTTATGTTGCTCCTGGGACTTCAGAAAATCCTCCTACAATTCGAATTGCTTCAATCTGGAACCCTAATGCTTTCGTGTGATTGAAAACTGTTCTACTTGGAACTTAGTTTGTCGGAACGGCTTATTTATAATTATGTATGTTATCTATTCAGGACATGTTGCTCTGTTTTCTGTAAAAAAAACTGATTGTTGGGTGACAATTTCATAAAGGGCAACATCATGGGAGTTCTTATGACACCGACGAAGTCATAATCCCAAGAATTGTTCTCAATGTTGAGAACTCCAAGTGGTTGTTTATACTCAAAAGACGTCAGTTCCCAGTTCGCACATGTTATGCAATGACAATAAATAAGAGCCAAGGACAGACGCTTGACAAAGTCGGAATCTATTTGCCAAAACCAGTATTTAGCCATGGACAGCTCTACGTGGGAGTTTCAAGGGTACGATCAGCACAGGTTTGCGAATGCTAATAGAAAATCCAGCAGAACTTCCAAACAACTATACAAGAAACATTGTGTTTGCAGAGACATTCAGTGATATCCTCACTGTCTAATAGGTCGGGGTGGGTTGTGCATCTGCTGTGCATTGCATGAAGGTAGTTTACAAAACTAAAAATGATTGTCTTTATCTAATCTACTATCAAAACTACAACCGTATTAGCTAACATTTCATGCCCTTTTCACAGATTTGTCTACCACTATTGGCGCAGCCACAACTTCAAACTGGTTTGGTTGTGTCTTCTTGGTCTGGATTGGAAGCCTAGAAGTTTAAACACATAAGTTAACCCTATTGTGATTCAAAACTTCCACAGTATGCCAATCTTTGTGTGCCGTTGCTTTTGATGTATAATACAGTTCGGCAGCTTCAGTTCAGCTTCATTCCACACTATGGTAATCTTTGTGTGCCGCTGCTGTGTCCTTCGTGTTTCGAACAAGGCAGACGCTTAAATCCGTTGTAGCGTTAATTGCTATGGACCAAACGTGTTTGGGCCTGGTCTACTTCTTAAATTGACGTATCTTTTTGCATTTTATGACAACAAGTGCATTTGAGCCCAGCCCAAATGGTGCTTTAGGGCTACAGATAAAGGCCCATTGTAGACCCGCCCAATATGAGCGCTCCAATCGAACCTCCCCTTTGAACCCTAACATCCCTCACCAACCATAGCAGCCGTCCACATCTTCATCAACCCTTCTCCGCCGCGTAAAGCCCCACCACTGAAGCTACCAGACAATCTTTTAAACCAAGGTAAATCCACGTCTCCCTCTTCTTCACCGCCTTTCATCTCGGAAATTACTGCTCATCGGTACTTCTGCTGTTTGGCCACAGACCCCACCTAACATGGAGAGCTTACCCGAAAAAAACCAGTCCACAGAGGGCGGTCACGTGGTCCCCCCGAAAACAAAGGTGCATGCCTTCCATTTCTGTAAATAAATCCTCCTGAGAATCTCGAATCCTCTGCAAAACAGATAAAATACCCATTTTTGTTTCCCTTTATTGTCTTACAGACCCGATTGAAACCTGCATGCCATTTAGGGGATTGCGTTTGGGCACCAACGTTCGCACAGTTATTGCTAGACCTGTGTTTACATGGCTTGAATTCCGAGAAGCACCCAAACTTAAAGATCTGACCATGCACATGATTTGGATGGATAAAAAGGTTTGTTACGATCCAATTACAAAATTGCACAGTCCTTTCATGAATGACTTTCGACAAAATGCGTTGTACAGTGTTACTAGCTCAAGTGTTGTTCTTATAGGAACGATTGATTGAGTCAATGGTTGGTGAAAGAGACATCACCGAGATATCTCGCAGAATAAAAATCGGGAAGCTTTATCAGTTGATTCTGTTCTGGCTATACCAGCGAGGGAAAATCCGAGGATTGTTCCAGGAGAGTTAAGGTTGCACATAACTCCCGAACAAAACATTTCAAGGGTTGAAGAAGACCTAGAAGACCCGCGCTTCCCTATTGGCTGGGATATTGGGATAGTCGTTTCGATAGTGCCTCTTCAAACAGACACCATTGAGTACCATACAGGTACATTTGACTATCTCTGTTTACCATACCAAGATTAATCTAAACTTTAAAATGACAAACATTTTTGTTCACAACAGACATCACTATGTGCGTCAGGCGCCTGAGTGTTCCCACTACAGTTCGTGGTATTTCAAAGAATTTCGCATCGTTGTACAGGATGTGAGGTACATTTTCCAAAATAATGTGTTCATTTGTGAATTATGGATCCACTAACTTAATATTGTACGCGTAAACAACGGCGTCAAGGCAATGGTTCATTATCAAGGATATGACATCTTAAGGTTCTTAGAAAATGCACCTGCGGCTGAAGCTCACTTGCCTCTCATTGTTACAATCAAATCTGTCATCTAGTTGCCACCTCTGCCCAACCAGAAATACAAGTACCATTTCAATCACTCCTGCCAGTTATCTGAAGATGGAATCCTACACACACTCGGCCAAGGAAATTATGCACATGTACACTTCTCTATTCACATATGCTGTTCATATCTCAATTAATTTGTATTGCCAATCAATTGAAACAAAACTAATGGTTTGTTGTATTTTCTACAATCCGTTTCCTTCATAATCGCAAACAGGTTTACTACATGGATGCCAACACCGGTGTGAAAACAGGCTGCCTTCGACCAGGAGTTGAGAAGAAATCACTCGCTGACATCAAAGCTGTGCTTGGATCTGATGAGAGCCACCACAAGGTACGTGGGAACTAAATATATCTACCTTGCCAACAGCTTGCACAGAAATTTTACATACGCACATATATTCAACATATATTGCCATTTGTGTTAGGTACTTTACCGTGCCAAGTTTTACATATCACAATTGAAGTTTCGAAGTAGCATTTGCCAACAAACTGAGCAATGGCCGAAGTAAGTTTTTGTTTCGATGCGAACACTTCTTATGCTTATTAATATATCAACAATAAGCTAACCAAAACTCTCATTTATATCTATAACTAGCTTGCACTATCAGCTGGAAGTCAAGGTGTGAACATGGAGCTGATGATATTGATGTCATACTGGACCATGAGGCCGCTCTCTCGATAATTGAATGTCACCCAGCAAGTACAAAAAAACTCGAAACGGAAGCTGCCAAAGCATTGCTAATCAGAAAGTGTAGCAGAATGTTTGCAGGGGGCTATACATCGGTTGCTCAGATTTAAAAAACAGAACTTCACCGTCGTCCCACCGCACATAAGAGTTGCAACACTTTGGCATACCTCAAGAGGACAGGTGATCGTCTACATTGATGAGGGAAAAACTTGCTGTGCACTTGATATGCCCCTAATATCCTCATTCTAGAACTAAGTTCCTGTTCTCCAACTTCCATGGAGACAAAAACAGTGTGCACGTTTGCTTATTTAGCTTGCAAAGACTTTTGGATTTGAACAAGATGATTTTGTACTGCCTTTGGCTTCTTTGCTTGACAAAACTACCTCTCCATTACATTTATGTGCACTAGCTACAGTGCATCATCTATCTATATTATTGTTCTTGGTTTATCAACAATGATTATTGGTGTAGGTTGGGAAACCACACGGTTTAACGTCCCCATTTACACTGGTAACTTAATCAACATACCCGCGGCAGAGCGCGGGCTAATTCCTAGTATATATAAAAAGAAGGGTAAATACAATTAATATCCAAACCTTTCATTTAAACAATATAATAGTCAAACCTTTTCGAAAACAATCTAATATCCAAATCGTCAACTTCCGTCCGTTTGACCGTTGGTTGACACTTCAAAAAAGCTTTGTTTAGGGGAAAATGTCACAATACAACTTATTTTCTTGTTTTGGCATTGCAGATGACTGAATATTTAGATATTCTATATCATCATGGTGGAGTCATGGACTTCTCGGGTTGGAACCACGATATGTTGGTGGGTTTTCAGAGAAGATATCGAGAATATTGATGAGCGCGTACTTCGAAC